GCACCCAACATAGGAGCACCTCAACACATAAGGCAAATGCTAACAGCCATAAAAGGGGAAACCAACAGTAAAACAATAATAGTAGGGGACTTTAACACCCCACTTTCACCAATGGACAGATCATCCAAAATGAAATAAATAAGGAAACACAAGCTTTAAATGACATATTAGACCAGATGGGCTTAATTGATATTTATAGGACATTCCATCCAGAAACAACAGAATACACTTTCTTCTCAAGTGCACATGGAACATTCTCCAGGACAGATCATACCTCAGGTCGCAAATCAAGACTCAGTAAATTTAAGAAAATTGAAATCATATCAAGTATCTTTTCCGACCACAATGCTATGAGACTAGATATCAATTACAGTAAAAAAAAAATTGTAAAAAATACAAACACATGGAGGCTAAACAATATGCTACTAAATAACCAAGAGATCACTGAAGAAATCAAAGAGGAAATCAAAAAAATACCTAGAAACAAATGACAATGAAAACACGATGACCCAAAACCTATGGGACGCAGCAAAAGCAGTTCTAAGAGGGAAGTTTATAGCAATACAATCATACCTCAAGAAACAAGAAAAATCTCAAACAACCTAACTTTTCTGCATCTCAATAGATGCAGAAAAAGCTTTCGAAAAAATTCAACACCTATTTATGATAAAAACTCTCCAGAAAGTGGGCATAGAGGGAACCTACCTCAACGTAATAAAGGCCATATATGACAAATCCACAGCCAACATCATTCTCAATGGTGAAAAACTGAAACCATTTCCTCTAAGATCAGGAAAAAGACAAGGTTGCCCACTCTCACAACTATTATTCAACATAGTTTCAGAAGTTTTAGCCACAGCAATCAAAGAAAAAGAAATAAAGGAATCCAAATCGGAAAAGAAGAAGTAAAGCTGTCACTGTTTGCAGATGACATGATACTACACATAGAGAATCCTAAAGATGCTACCAGAAAACTACTAGAGCTAATCAATGAATTTGGTAAAGTAGCAGGACACAAAATTAATGCACAGAAATCTCTTGCATTCCTATACACTAATGATGAAAAATCTGAAAGAGAAATTATGGAAACACTCCCATTTACAACTGCAACAAAAATGCAACAAAAAGAATAAAATACCTAGGAATAAACCTACCTAAGGAGACAAAAGAACTGTATGCAGAAAACTATAAGACATTGATGAAAGCAATCAAAGATGACACAATCAGATGGAGAGATAGACCATGTTCTTGGGTTGGAAGAATCAATATTGTGAAAATGACTATACTACCAAAGCAATCTACAGACTCAGTGCAGTCCCTATCAAACTACCAATGTCATTTTTCACAGAACTAGAACAAAAAATTTTACAATTTGTGTGGAAACACAAAAGACCCTGAATAGCCAAAGCAATCTTGAGAAAGGAAAAAGGAGCTGGAGGAATCAGGTTCCCTGACTTCAGGCTATAGCACAAAGCTACAGTAATCAAGACAGTATGGTATTGGCACAAAAACAGAAATATAGATCAATGGAACAGGAATAGAAAGCCCAGAGATAAGCCCACACATATATGGCCAACTTATCTTTGAAAAAGGAGGCAAGAATATACAGTGGAGAAAAGACAGCCTCTTCAATAAGTGGTGCTGGGAAAACTGGACAGCTACATGTAAAAGAATGAAATTAGAACACTTCCTAACACCATACACAGAAATAAACTCTAAATGGATTAAAAACTTCAATGTAAGGCCAGACACTATAAAACTCTTTGAGGAAAACATAGGCAGAACACTCTATGACATAAACCACAGCAAGATTCTTTTTGACCCACCTCCTAGAGAAATGTGAATAAAAAACAAACAAATGGGACCTAATGAAACTTAAAAGCTTTTGCACAGCAAAGGAATCCATAAACAAGTCAAAAGACAACCCTCAGAATGGGAGAAAATATTTGCAAATGAAGCAACTGATAAAGGATTAATCTCCAAAATTTACAAGCAGCTCATGCAGCTCAATATCAAAAAAAGAAACAACCCAATCCAAAAATGAGTAGAAGACCTAAATAGACATTTCTCCAAAGAAGATATACAGATTGCCAACAAACATATGAAAGGATGCTCAACATCACTAATCATTAGAGAAATGCAAATCAAAACCACAATGAGGTATCACCTCACATCGGTCAGAATGGCCATCATCAAAAAATCTACAAACAGTAAATGCTGGAGAGGGTGTGGAGAAGAGGGAGCCCTCTTGCTTGTTGGTGGGACTGTAAACTGATACAGCCACTATGGAGAACAGTATGGAGGTTCCTTAAAAAACTAAAAATAGAATAACCATATGATCCAGCAATCCCACTACTGGGCATATACCCTGAGAAAACCATAATTCAAAAAGAGATATGTATCACAATGTTCATTGCAGCACTATTTACAATACCCAGGACGTGGAAGCAACCTAAGTGTCATCGACAGATGAATGGATAAAGAAGATGTGGCACATATATACAATGGAATGTTACTCAGCCATAAAAAGAAATGAAACTGAGTTATTTGTACTGAAGTGGATGGACCTAGAGTCTGTCATACAGAGTGAAGTCAGAAAGAAAAATAAATACCGTATGCTAACACATATATGGAATGTAAAAAAATGGTTTTGATGAACCTAGGGATACGACAGGAGTAAAGGCACAGATGTAGAGAATGGACTTGAGGACACAGGGAGGGGGAAGGGTAAGCTGGGACGAAGTGAGAGAGTAGCACTGACATATATACACTACCAAATGTAAAATAGATAGCTAGTGGGAAGCAGCTGCATGGCACAGGGAGATCAGCTTGGTACTTTGTGACCACCTAGAGAGGTGGGATAGGGAGGGTGGGAGGGAGATGCAAGAGGGAGGGGATATGGGGATATATGTATACATATAGCTGATTCAGTTTTTTATACAGCAGAAACTAACACAGCATTGTAAAGCAATTATACTCCAATAAAGATGTTAAAAAAAACTAGTGTGACAGGAAGAACTGGATGGGCTCAGTGGCAGAGGCTGGGCTTTCAGACCAAGGAGAGCTGGTCCTCCTGCTCTACCAGCCTGTCTACCATACCAGTACCTGCTCCACTGGAACCTGAGTCATGGACTCAGACAGCAACTTCCTGCCTGGATTCTGGACACTTCTGTGTCCTCCTGGCCCTGTGCACTGAATCCTGTCTCTCGTCATTTTCTTTTTATTCACCATTTTAATTTGTTCTGTGGTCAAGTGGCCCTCTCTTTTTTGTAGCTGATTTACTCCCTTTGATGTATATACTAAACAGTTTTTTATCTCTATACAAATACCATGACTAAGAATAAGAAAGTATTATGAAAAGTATTGAAGGACTGTATAAATGAAAAGAATGTAATTATTATTGCTTTTAAGTGGGGAATATTAAATAAAAGTGCTTTGAAGAAAACATAAAGCTTTCATAATGGTCTGAGCTATTCATGAGATGGAAATTCATTTTACAAAGGAGGAAGTTGAGGTGGAGTGAAATCAAGTGATTTGTCCAAGAACCCAGAGTTAGTTTGTGGCACAGCCAGAAAAGAAATCAAGTTCAACACAATTTCTATAGTTCATGTTGCTTTAACTGAACTGAATTATATCTAGCAAATATGCAAAGATTTATTTACTGCTAGCATCCCTCAAAATGTCAATGGAGATGGTAGAAGTGGCATCTGTGCCCCATATACTCTACCACTAAGTTAAATTCTCTGCCAACAATACTTCTCATACTCAAACCACTTTTTTGTCCACTGTTGTATATCTTGCTCAATTTCACTCTTAAACCTTTTAAACTTATTTTTTTGAATTAAAAATATATCTGTCTTATGTTTTCTATAAGAAATACCTAGAGGTTTTATCTACTTTATTAGCCTGAGAGTTGTTTAAAGGCAAAACTATGTGTATTCCTTATATACCCAAAGCATCTCAAATCGAACTTAACATCCTATAGTGACTTACATTATTTCCCTTCATAATTCACAAAAGTTTTGAATCTGCTCTATCTCTGATGTGGCAGTAGGCCCAAATGTACATATAGCCAAGAACTCTTCCAAGGTGGAAATTCTATATCCAAACTGATCTAATTGACATTTACAGAACATTACACACTACAACTGAGGAGTTCACATTCAGGTATACGGAGTCTTTGCTTTTGCATGGTACCATGTTAAATGAAATCTGTATATATCAAAAGCTTTACATGTCCCTGATATCCATGAATTTCAGTTAAGACAGCACTGTGCAAAGCAAGGCTTGTAATGGAACCACTATAAAACATATGGAGTGCCACAAAACAAGTCTGAAAATACTTCAAAGGACTGAAATGATACAGAGTATGTTATCTGACATGACAGAATTAAATTAGAAACTGATAACAATAAAACAGCAAGAAAACCCTCAAATATTTCGAAACTAAGCAACAAACTTCTAAATGATCCATAGGTAAAAAAAAAAAAAAAAAAGTACATATAGCATCCAGCATAATTCACCCAAGAAATACTTGTTGGATTGAAATGAACCCAAATGTTGAGGTTGAAACATTTTGACTAGAGAGGATCTGAAGGAGCATATAGAAAGTGCACCTTTATTCTTCTTCACCATTGGAGCTACTGAGAAAAGCCTTGGGCCTAAAGAACAATACTTTCTTCCACTACTGATTTAAGTAGAAAGTATGTTTTAGGAAAATGTTATGGAAATAAATGTCTATGGGTGATGCTCAAAACTGAGTAGTAAAACAGATCCTTCAAAAAGCATATTGCCATACAATATGCTTCAGTCAGCACTTTAAAATTTTCAAATGTAGAGATTTTCTTTTTTTTGGTCGTAGCTTTCAAAATGTTTGAATCCATTACTCTAATTGTACTTTCAGCCAAATATTGCACACTTGAAAAAACAATATGGAACATCGTCTCAAGAATTAACTTGTTTTGGCTACAAAACAAAAAACCCTAAATAAATACATATACCTTAGCTGCGTTGATGAAACATGTTTGCAATTGCCTCCCCAAAACTAGAAAATTTTCTACAGCTGATGGAAGTAATTCATTGTAAAATTCCTCTGCATCTTCTCCCGGTTCCAAGCCCACACAGCAATGGCTGAAATAAGAGCACAAGTTTGTGATTCAGTTTGTGCTAATTATAAATTTTAGATGAATGCTAAAGCTTCTATAGACACCATGCCTTAATGAGAATTTTTAGTATCTTTCTTTTGTTGCCAAGCCAATAAAGAACTTTTACAGGAAAATTAGTGTAACAACTTTCTTAACAAGTAACAAGTAAACAGTGGTGTGGATTTTGCCTGTACTTAGAGCTAGGCCTTACCTGTCCTAAAAACTTACTTGTCAATCCTTCAGGAAACAAAATACACTTGGCTCACAATAAAGAGAAAGAGGCAAGTTTTCAGTGAAGGGGCTACACACACTCTAAAAGCAATAGAATACCATTCAAGAGTAACATATGTGTTAACTGATACATTTTACACATCAGATAGCTGAAAAACAGCTAGGGTAGCATTAGTCTACAAGGGACAGATTATCAATTTTTTCCAACAGATCTACTTTCCTAAAATCTGAAAAATATCTGACTGCACATTCCCTACATCAGAAGAGGAGACAGCAAAAAGTCTAGTAGGAACAGTTTACAATATACATTGAAAGAGAGAAGGTTATTTAGAGAAATGGGTCCTCTTGAAACCATACATAAAGTCACCCCCTGGATACGAAACGAGTATATTCAAAAGCCTCAACGGTAAGAATTATTTGTGCAGACTAATACCAAAAAAAGTCCCCAATCCAAGAATGGTCTCTATGTGTGTACTCTAATAAGTAAGTATCAATGTTAGAGGCTTGTGCAGACACTGATAAGCAACAGTGACTACATACTGAGTACACTAAAAACTGACTAATGCTCAGTGTCTTTTTTTTTTTTGCATATCAGTTCTTAAGGTCAATAGACTTACACTCACATGTACCAGTTTCTCTTTTCCCTTTGGTTTCTAAAGTTAATTAAGAGTACTATTTTCATTGAAAATGTTAATAAATGAAATACATTTTTTGTACGTTCACAAACATGGGGATTTCTTAAGACTTGGAGTCCACTTCTGAGAGCCTAGCTCCATCAATATTTCCATGAGCTAACATATCTAAAAACACAAAGACATAAGGCTTTATTTACTTAAGGAAATAATTAATCTTGAAAATTAAGGTATTAAAAAAATATTACATGTGTTAACTGTTTTTCCTAACTGTATACCTTGAATCTGGCCTTTATCTATCTATGTTTAATTATAGGCAGTTTCAAAAGCTAAGATCCAACTAGTACTGCACATTTTCAGTTACTTAATTAGGAAGTGGCTTAGACACTGAGAACACCTGATTTATTTTATTGCCTCCTATATGAAAAAAGATTTTGATCTTTTTCTCATAATTTCTAGCATGGCTGATCTAGCATCTACTGATCAGTAAATGCTGCTTCTAAATTTATTGACATGATTTGGGTTACTTAATGAAATATACAGTTGAGACAGCTATACCAATACACTGTGAAATGAAGTTTCTGTATCTCTTCTTCTGCAGTCTTTTGCTTATGCCTTTCATTTCAGCACCTATTTCATTCTGCCTTGTATGATAAATCCACATGACTGTCATCCCATGTCTACTGTAAGTTTTTCCAGTATAGAGCCAGTGCCTTAATCTCTTTATTTCTTCAATATTCTTTAGTCTTTAGTCTATTAGGCCCTTGGGATTCAGTGGTGAGCACAAGATCACCATCTTCGTAGAGCTTATGGAGTGAAATTGACAGTGAAATATTCACAAATACAGTTAGGAATAATAATATATAGTATGAAGGAAAAGTACATCCATAACATACCATGGGAGGTTGCCAATGCTTGTTAGCCAGATGAAGAAAAGAAAGCAAATGTTGAAATTAAGAATCTACTCGGGCTTCCCTGGTGGCACAGTGGTTGAGAGTCCGCCTGCCGAAGCAGGCGACACAGGTTCGTGCCCCGGTCTGGGAAGATCCCACATGCCACGGAGCAGCTGGGCCCGTGAGCCATGGCCGCTAAGCCTGCGCGTCCGGAGCCTGTGCTCCGCAATGGGAGAAGCCACAACAGTGAGAGGCCCGCGTACCGCAAAAAAAAAAAAAAAAGAATCTACTACTATATCCCTCAACAACAAGCTGATTTATTGTTCATTTTACCTTAATATCTGTGTAAGCTGGGAAATTGTAGTCCAACCACCCTGGATTCGAGAACAATCTTGACTGAGGACCAAGAGGCAATACTGAATGAGATCATAACAATATATATCTTGTTTGACTTTCTTCAACTCTGAGCTTCCAAAAGGTGTGTTGTTTATTATTTCTAAGGCAAAAGGAAATAAGATATACTTATTTTTGCTCAATAAATCCAAGAGTTATCCGTATTTTTATAGGTTGAATAATGACTAAAAATACATTAAAAAGGAAAAAGAAATCACTGCTTTATCACAGTGTTAAGATTTCACTGAACAAATTAAAAACAAATGCTAAAATTGTACCCATGATGGAATTTGTTTTGTTGAAGTGTCAGCCGATCACAAAAAGATTTTCTTACCTTTTAACTTCAACAGTATAACAGGGACATTCTGCTCAGGACTTACTGCAACTTCAGCAGCTAGAGATAAGATCCTTGGGTCTCTACCCATTGGCTTCATTTCTCATACCACCTATATTTGACAGAATCAGAAAAATAAAGGTCAACAGCCTAAAACATTCACCCCCTAAATAATGTTTGAAATATAAATGACAACAGCTTTGCTTGGTTCAAGAAGTGAAGGGTAGATTTTTCTCATTTCTTCCTTATAGGGAGAAATTGGTTTTTCCAACTAGTGTACCTCTAAAAGAGCTAAAGACCCTTATAACATACTGTAACAGCTACACTAGGTACTGTTTATTGTGCACTCTCTGAGAGTCAGAAACTGTGCTTGGTGCTTCACATTCACTCTCCCTAATCTGCACAACAATCCTAGGTTAGGAGTTAATTTTCTTTCATCATAAAAGAGAAACTGAGTGTGCAGAAATGAGCTAATACAGGCCTAAGACTGATATCTTTTTTAAAGGTCTCCTTACAAGGTTGGCCCTTGCCTGGTGTCTAGGAACTTGGATTTCAGGAGGGTTTCCACCAATTTCCTAGTACGACTGGCTCACTGGGCCTAAACTGTTTGTAAAAACAATGTGGTTTATGTTGAATACCTGCTTTCCTTCCTGAAGTCTGGAATTCTGATATGTGGTAGCAGAGGATGCCTACATGACCATCTCCAATAAAGACTCTTGTCACTGAGTCTCCAGTGAGCATCCCTGGTAAACAACACTTCAACATGTTACTACAACTCACTGAAGGAGGAATTAAGCATGTCCTATGTGACTCCGCTGGGAGAGGACTCTTGGAAGTTTGCACCTGTTCTCCTCTGAATTTCACCTCATCTGCCTTCTCCCTTTGACGATTTTCCTTTGTATCCTTTTAGTGTAATAAATCATAGCTATGATTATGATTATATCCTGAGAACTATGAGCCCTCCTAGCAAATTACTAAACCTGGAGTTGGTCCTGGGGATTCCCAACACACAATTCAGAAATGTTATTATAAGATAACCAAAGCTTGTTTATAAATAGCGTAGTGAATAAATCAATTATCTTAAAAAAAATCCACATCCCAATTCAATTTGCTAAAACTTTTCTTTAAAAAATTTAAAGAAAATTAAATTCTTTTAATTAAGACATTCAAAGCTCAAAGATACCATTTTAAAAAAAGTATAATCTTAACTTATTTATAATAAATACTAACATATATTAAGTGCTTACTATGAATTAAGCACTGTGCTAAGTGCTTTCATATGCATTATCTCATTTAATCCTCACAACAGGACTATGAGGTAGAGCCTTTAATCACCTACATTTTACAGATTAAAAAAAAGTAAAGTTTGAAGAAGTTAAGAAACTTGTCATGGTTCCACTAGCATGTGGTGGAGTCAGTATTCAAATCCAGATCAGTATGAATCCAATTTCCATTACAATGTTCATTATATTCCTTCCCACATAAAAGAGTAAAGAAACACAAAACATATTCCCAAATAACCTACTTCTCACTTTTTAAGCTATTATTCTTCACAACTGGCACCACAGTTCACCCTTTATATTAAAGAGTTGGGGACTTCCCTGGTGGTCCAGTGGTAAAGAATCCACCTTCCAATGCAGGGCATGCAGGTTCGATCCCTGGTTGGGGAACTAAGATCCCACAAGCCGTGGGGCAACTAAGCCCACACACCACAACTACTGAGCCCACACGCCTCAACTAGACAGCCCGCGTGCCGCAAACTACAGAGCCCACACGCTCTGCAGCCCACGCCACAACGAGAGAGAAAATGTGCAGGCCATGACTAGAGAGAAGCCCGCATGCCGGCACGAAGAGCTTCCGTGCCGCAACGAAAGATCCCACATGTTGCAACTAAGACTCGATGCAGCCAAAAATAAATAAATGTTTTAAAAAAAAGAGTTGGCCATAATACAGGATCCAAAAATCATTCCTTTTTAGGTAAAATACAGATCATTAAAAAACAAGTTTTCTGGAAACATTTTTAAAGAAAGCCCAGCACAACTCTTGGCACATAAACTTTCTAGGAGAGTGGATATAGTTATCTCATTCTTTCCAATGGCTGCATTATGCTATGTTTCCTTTGTAAGAGAGTATCAAAATATATTTAAACATCTCCTCTACTGGAAGTCATTCAGAGTGTATGCTAGTACAAGCAATGCTGCAATGAATATCGAAGTATATGTCTTAGGTACTCATGATAGTACTCTGTGGGATGAATTTTTCCCTTGCAGTCAGATGGCTGGGTGGCAGGACACATATTTTAAAATTTTTGATTAGATACCAAATTTTTCTCCAAAATGGGTGTTCCAATTTATACTTCCACCAACAATGTATGAGGGTGCTCACTTTACTATGCCTTCAATAGTGCCTAATGTTATATTTTACATTTTTGTCAATCCGCTAGGTGAAAAATGGTATCATCTTGTTCTGGTTTTTTTGTTTTTTATTTTGCGGTACGCAGGCCTCTCACTGTCGTGGCCTCTCCCGTTGCGGAGCACAGGCTCCGGACGCACGGGCTCAGCGGCCATGGCTCACGGGCCCAGCCGCTCCGCGGCATGTGGGATCTTCCCGGACCGGGGCACAAACCCGCGTCCCCTGCACCAGCAGGCGGACCCTCAACCACTGCGCCACCAGGGAAGCCCAATCATCTTGTTTGAATTTCTATTTCTTTGATTATTAGGGAGGTTCAGCACGTTGCATGTTCACTGGCCATTTATTCTTTTATATATTTTCTCTTCACATCCCTCAACAATTTTTCTATTGGCTTATCTTATTCCTTTGTAGAAGCTTTAAGTTTTTCATACATGGATATACACCCTTTATCTTTTATATTGGCTATAAACACTTTATCCTCATCTGTTGTTTATTTATTAAAGCTTGATTATGGTTTTACCGTAGTTTTACAATTTTTATGTAGTCAAGTATAACAATCTTCCCTCTATGACTTTGCCTTTGGTGTCATGCTTAGAAAGGTCCTCCCTACCCTAAGAGCTAAAATATAATCTCCTAATTTTTTCTACTATTTTTATTATTTTGTTTTACTTATATCTTCATAAACATACTTTATTTATATCTTCAATACAAATGTAAGTTATTTTTGTGAGTGGTTTAAGATAGGAAGCTATAACGTCAGATGAGGTTACAGATTGGTGTAAAAAGAACAAATGCACATAGCTATCATAAATTTGAGATAATTTATCATGAATGGATACAAGAGAAGCAATCTGAAATGTCACTTGGGTATATTTTTAGATTCTATTTAGTCCATTAGTCTATTTGTTTCTTCCTAGGCTAGTACAACATATTTCATTTAGATGTATGTTTAGAGAAAATTCACATTAGAAGGTAAGCTTCACAAGGGCAAAACGCATACCATTCTTGGTGGCTGCCTTCTTACCTCTTTGGTTCACTGTTATATTCCCAGAGTTGCTAAACTAGCACTTGGCACGTGGTAGGTACTTAGTATTTATACATGTTGAAACAATGAATAAATGCACAAACTTTGGGTATTCCAAAACCTCAATTTCTTGATGCTCTGCTTTTCTCCTGGTTATAAATGGAAACCTCAGACTTCCGGTTGAAAGCCTTTTTAAAGTAAAATAGATTCACAACACTGTTCTTCCCCTCTGGCTAATATAATAAAACATCACTAAAACATCATCACCACCACCAAACATGCGTAGGGCTCTATGATAGACCCAAGGTTCACAAAGATTTTATATAGGACAGATTTCCTGCTCACATTCTGGTTAGGAAAGAAAAGTATACACACAGACCTATATACACACATATGTAAAATAAAATAATTATGTAAAATACGTTACAGGCCAAATAGGTGACACAGATGATAAGAATAAAGACCACAGAGTCAGAGGACAGGGTTTCCATGAACAAGCTTTCTTACCTGTAAACAAAATAATAATTCCTACCTCCTAGAGTAATTCAAGGTTTAGAAAAGAAGGCAACCACCAAAGATGGCCCTAAAATGTTGCATGACAGTAAAGTCTCAAAAATAACCATTCAGAGAGCTTTTACTTTATCCCATGAATTGTTTTCAATGCTTTCTTGTACTAATTTAATCCTCTCAACAACTGTAAGGTATAATAAGTACTATTATTTTTTCCTCCCATTTTAATGATCAGCATCCTTAACTTTGGTTTGCACAAAGTCATACTGTACAGAGTATGAAGCTGGGGTTCAAACCCAAAGATTCTGGCTTTAGAACCCGAGCGCTTAACTACCACAGGGAACAGTCTTAGTCCGCCTTAAAGGAGTAGAATTTGGACAAGCGGATAGGCTGCGAGAGACACATTCATCTACCTGCCTGGAACAATAAATTACAAACCTGGCGAAGGTAGCAGTTAAGTAAGAAAGTTTTCGGATTACGTAATTACCCTGAAAAACCACCACTGTTATGGCAACCATTTGTGAACCTTCTCTTGGATGCTTCTCTTCTAATACAGCACTTCTCTCAGCTTTACCCTTAAATTCACGAACTTCTGACAGAAAAAATGAAAAAAAAAGACAATGATTTTTCAATTATTAATGCTATTACCCTGCTGCCAGAGCACAAGGTCTGGCCTTGATCTTTTGGGAATTCGGTCTTCAGGGCCGTGCCGTTACCGCCGCCACAGATCACTGTGAAGAAGATAAAGAAGGTAACCCAATGGATTCCAGCTGCAAGTAATCCTAAATGTCTGCAGTTCCAAACTCTGAAACTTTTTTACCCGCCCCACTTCACCCTCCTCCCTCTATCCCAGTCCTTATACCACCAGGAACTTCCTCTGGAACATAAGGTCAAAAAACGATTGCTGAGGCAACGGCGTCGCCTTCAGTCAGGTCCACCGACCGCGTCTCTGAGGCCACGGGCGTCTCTACTCCGGATTCTAGAGCTGGCTTTCGTGCTATCTGGCCTTGGACAAGACATCAGGCCTAGTGCCCACGCTCCGCCCCTCCCCCGCCTCAGTTTCCACACCAGATCTCCACAGAAAAGGCGTGGAGCAGGCCGAGTCTCCCTTTAAGAGCTCCTACAAGACGGGTCGCTTGGTCCAGAAGCCTGCGGTCCGGGCCTCCCGGTATGCCGGGGCGCCCTCCTTCCCCAGCCGCCCAGTCAGGTCGGCTACCTCAGTCCTGCTTCGCGCTGCTCCACCGAATAACCCCGCCCCCACCGCGCACCTCAGAAACGCGGCGTGCCGGGGTCTGCGTGCGTCGCAACGTGGGAAATGGAGCCTGGCTGCAGGACCAGGAGCCTCGGGGCCAAGGGGCGGGGCGCCAATCTCCAGGAGGCCAATCAGCACGCGAGAGGCCCGGTGGGACCGCGCTTGTCGGTCGCGGGGCGGAGGCTATAGTGGCTACGCCCGCGGCGGCCGAGCGCCTGTTCTTCAGGCTGAGTTGGCAGAGGGTAGTGAGCGTCGGTGGCCGAGGCAGAGTTGGAGCCGGAGGAGAATGATGAATGGAATCGCGGGAACTTCGCATATTGACAGTCGCGAGCGGGTTCTCAAATTAGGGGAGAGTTTTGAGAAGCAGCCGCGCTGCGCCTTCCACACTGTGCGCTGTGAGTGAGGACGACCCCCGGGGAAACTGGGGGGAGCTCTGGGTATGGGGGTGCGGAAGCACAACTCTCTCCAAGTCGTGTTCGAACAGAGGCCCCCACCCCTTATTCTGTGGGAGAATACCGTGCCCAGCGCGACCCGCTGCCCTGTCCGGAGTGCTAGGGGGCCGATGGAAGCAGCCTGGTCGAGCAGGTGTGGGTAATTCTGAGCAGAGAGATTTAGGTAAGACCAGCAGGTAGAAAGGGACGCTTTGTGGAGGAGGTCTACAGGGGTGACTATGGGTGGAGGCAGACGTGACTGGCGGATCATGCAGAGGTGGTAAGGAAAGTATACAGTTGACCCTTGAACAACGCAGGGGTTAGGGACGTCGACCCCGCACAGTGGAAAATCCACGGACTGCTATCTCTGCCTCAAAAACGAAGGAATCGATACATGACTCACCCAAGATCCCGAAGCTGAAGCCGTTTGGGTAGAATCAGGACTCAAACTCTGTAGTTTTTTTCATTACACGTATTGTGATCTCTAATGGAACACAGACTTTTCCCCACACTTCGTTAATTTAAAGATCTGTAAGATGAAAATACAGATACTCTATTTATTGGAAAAAATCTTCATGTAAGTGGACCCGTGCGGTGCAGACCCGTGCGTGTTATTCAAGGAACAGCTGTAATAAGGTGACAAATGGAAGGGGGCAAAGGGAAATGGGAAGGGAAAATGCCTTTAGGTTGGTAGGGAAACATTCTCTCCCTTCTTAACTTTTGGTGTCTGGCTGATGAAAATGCCTTTAGGTTGGTAGGAAAACATTCTCTCCTTTCTTCACTTTTGGTGTCTGACTGATGAGGGTTCTTATTTACTGTGTTCCTGGAGAAATATTCTGGACAATTCTAATAATCTGTATCTCTTTTGGACCCCTGATTTCATTCAGTCACTTATCAAATACTGATTATCACTGTACTGAAGAGTGTGTTATGAATTTATTAGAAAGATATTTACCCCCTGTGATTTCTCCTTTTGGTTTCCCTTTGTTCTCTGGAACTAGTTTTGATACATTTTTCTCTTTTATGTTATTGAGGCTACCTCAGTCCTGCTTCAATAGTTGGATGCTTTAATAGTTGGATGGTGTAGATTCCAGGAAGGAAAATATAGTATATTATGATTTGGTATGTAAAACATTCATTTTTTGCATAATAGCCCTCATAGAATTATAGAGTGGGAAGGAAACTTTGAGATCATTGAATCATAACCTCTTATTTTTCTGTGGCCAAATTGTAAAGTAGGTATTTTTTCACTTCCTCTTTCTAGCCCTGCCCTTCCTTAGTGTCTCATCATTCCACCCTTCTCAGTCATTCTGTCCTTAGACTGTTCAGAGATCTTTATGGTTTTTACTCTGAAGTGTTCCATGTTTCAATTAAAACTCACATTCTCCAAAAGTTTACTTAAGTTGTACACAATCTAATTACAGTAACTCAGAGTAAAGTTATGAAGAACCAATAAGTTTAACTCTCCAAGGATATATTTACATTTTATGAAAGGATTTTATTAAGCAAAATTAATATCCGGTTGATAGAATAAATGGGGGCGATATTTGCAAACAGATCTTCAACACTGTCCCTTCTTTACCATACTTTGTGGTCCAAGACCTTGAAACAGCTAGTGCTGGCTGTGCAGTTTCTCTCCTTCTTCAGCCCCATTTTCCAGAAGTATGATATAGTTCTTACCTGGTTTCTCCATGCCTTTCTCTCAAGTAATAACTTCCCTCTCCTTTCCTCTTCTTTCTCAGGTATGCAGTAATCTTAGTATCAGTTTTTTTAATGATAAGGTTTGAGATTACACAAATTTGCTCAAGAATCTATTTTCATGTAACTTGGGTATATAGTCTCTTTTTAAGGGCATAAGCCCCAAATTAAGTGAATAAGAAGTAGCCTTCGAAAAGCACTTTGCAGGTGCTTCAAAGCCTTTTATTTATAAAAGTTCTCAAAATGCTGGAATCGTGTCTTCAGAATCAGAGTATCGGGTGATCCTGTTACAAGAATGAAAATAAACAAAAGAACAATAATAATAACCACAAAAAACCCAAATGTTTGAATACACCTTTAGTCCTGTGGAAGACATCAGAAAGGTTTTCAGCCCTTAGTTTTATTCTTGTTGAAGCAGACAGAACCTTTCTAAAAAGGTTTTATTTAAGAAAATAAATTTATTTTATTTTCTTTAATCTTTTATTTTCTTTTAATCTTTATTTATTAAAAGAAAACCAATCATTATCCTTGAGGATAGGTTCATTTCCCATATGATTCTCATCCTTAAGGACTCAGAGTGAGGGATGGAAACTATAGACTTTCATACAGGCAGGTAGATATGATTTATTTATTTTTTTAAAAAATTGCACATTTTTCTTTCTGAAAACCAAAAATGTTTAGTATTTTTAATTATCACTACTACATGTAAAGATATGTTTTTTCCTCAGGGAACTGAAGAAGAACTTTGTTTCTATTTTCAGAAAAATATACTCATGTTTAAGCTCTGTAATAAAGTAGAACAGAAATACACACAGATAATACATTAATTTCAACTTTTTATTAACTATGTAAAATAGACAATTCACTTTAAGTTGCTGAGCTCATCTTATCTATAGAATGAAGCAATAAATTCAGCCATTCTATCATTTTTTATTAAAATTATGAACTGCCCTTAAATTGATAGGTATGTGAAAAATACAATATTTTCAATATCAGTGTTACATAATGCTTGAAGCTTTCATTCATTCACTAAATGTAAATATCTTTCTAAATCTTCTAAGTTTTTTTTAACAGGTAAGGCTGTAAAGATATATATTGAAAGTATCATGATAATTTGTAAGGATGGTTCAAATATATTTTAGCATGACATTTATTTATTTAAAATTTTTTTTATTGAAACATAGTTGGCATACAATATTATGTGAGTTTCAGGTTTCCTACATAATGATTTGACATTTGCATACATTATGAAATGATCACCAAGATAAGTCTAGTAACCATCTGTCCCCATACAAAGTTATTACAATATTATTGACCATGTTCCTTATGCTGTATATTATATCCCCATGACTTGTTTCTTATGTAACTGGAGGCTTGTACTTCTTAATCCCCTTCAGGGTGGACCTAATTTATAATAAATCAATGTTACCTGGGAGAAAGTAGTATTCTATCTTTATGTACTTGGGTAATGATGCCTGTTCAATACACTGAGGTTTTGGAAAAACCTGGATGTGAATTCTGACCTCCACCACCTATATATGTAATGTAACTTTGGTAATATTCTCGAAGCTTTCAGTCTCAGTTTTCTTAAATGTAAAATGGAAATTGTAATATCTACATTTCAGAGTTTCAGGATTAAGTAAGATAGTATAAACAACTTAGCACAGTTTTTGGTGCATGGTAGAGAATAAATAGTAGTCACCATTATTATTGAAGGGTTATATTCATGTGTGTATGCAGAGTGCCAATAAATGTACTTTACCTAGACTTTCAAAAAGCATTTATCGGGCTTCCCTGGTGGTGCAGTGGTTGAGAGTCCGCCTGCCGATGGAGGGGACGCGGGTTCGTGCCCCGGTCTGGGAAGATCCCACATGCCGCGGAGCGGCTGGGCCTGTGCTCCGCAACGGGAGAGGCCACAACAGTGAGAGGCCCGCGTACTGCAAAAAGAAAAAGAAAAAAAAAAACATTTATCAGGGCTTGGCAGTAAAACCTATCAAAAACATAGTCTGGCATGTGGTAGGGAAGACGTGGGATGTTCTGTAAATGATAAACTGAATGCTTAACAGCAGATGCTTCACTGGGTAGAAGAGTTTGAGCAATAGGACCCATTAGAATAAATTTTGGATTTGAGCTAGTACTAGTTTTACAATTTATAACCAGATAAGGGAATAAAGATTGAAATTCCTAAGTTTGTAAATGACACCATTTTTTCCTGTCATGAAATGATGAGCTCATGGACAGTGACTACAGGAATATTGTCTGAGGCACCAAGTGGAGCCACTCCCAAAAAACTGGTTGTTAAGCTTTGGTATGGGCACACATTAGAAAGTACACTAATGAAAAATAGGATTGAAATTATATTTACAATTAATGTTCTCTGATTAGTGTGGTATACTGGGAAGGATATGGGTTTTGGAGTTAGCTGAATTAGTTCAGATCCCAGGAAATAAATTTATGTTACTAATTGTGGACTCTTTTGTGAAGATATTGACATTGTGTGATGCTACAGCCAAAATAGTCAGAGAAGTGATCAACAATGATAGGAAAAGTGTTGAGAATAAGGCAGGAAATGTTTTCCCACTCTTTATGTAATATAACTAATTGTATTGTAAATCTGAAGAAAATAACATAAATGAAGGAAATCCAGAGAAAATAAACGATAAAATTAGTGGTGAGGCTTCCAAACCAAGAAGAACCAAAAGAAATAAACTATTTAGTCTGGAATCATTCCAACTTAGAAGAGAATACATTTGACATTAGAAAACATATGGAAAGCATGAGCATCAGATTATTCAACAAATTCTGTAGTTCTAGAGCTATATTTAACCCCTTGAATCTCAAAATTTGTATACTTAAAAAGAAACTTCTTGTGTGAAGGTAAATAAAAGACAACACTACTTAATATAACAAGTAATAAAATGTGGACTTTATTCTAACAATAATAATTAGAAATATAAATAGGTTCAGAATAGTTTTGATGGACTTACTGGTTATAAATTCCAGCTCATTAAGCAAACCTACAGATATTTTGAGTACATTTCTGTCTGTTATTGGTATCACATATACTATAGGCATTTATGCATAGGCTTCAAGGGCTTGTGAATCCCTTGAAATTATATAGTATTTGATATGTATGTTCATATATGCATATTTTAAGCATGTATTACTTTTTTAAAAGTTAATTAATTTTTTTATTTTTGGCTGCATTGGGTCTTTGTTGCTGCATGCGGGCTTTTCTCTAGTTGCATCGAGCGGGGGCTACTCTTCATTGCAGTGCGCGGGCTTCTCATTGCAGTGGCTTCACTTCCCTTGTTGTGGAGTATGGGCTCTAGGTGCACGGGCTTCAGTAGTTGTGCACACGGGCTCAATAGTTGTGGCTCGTGGGCTGTAGAGTGCAGGCTCAGTAGTTGTGGCGCATGGGCTTAGTTGCTCTGCAGCATGTGGAATCTTCCTGGACCAGGGCTCGAACCCGTGTCCCCTGCATTAGGCAGGCGGATTCTTAACCACTGCGCCACCAGGGAAGTCCCCATATATGCATTTTTATGCAGAGAGGATCTGTAGCTGGTCTATAATTTTCATCAGATTCCGATAGGGACTTATGACTATCCCTCATCTCCTAACACCACCCCTCCAGACACATGCATATACACAGAAGTTTGGAACTGTGGATCTAAGGCAAAGGGGCTATATAATATGGGCTGGGTAGAGTGTGTGGCTTGAGTTCCTTGCTTATCTTTTACTGGCTTCATTACTTTAGAGGAGTTCACCATCAGTAAAATATGGGTGAGAATATTCAATTCAGAGAGTTGTGAAGATCAAAAGTAATGATATAAAGAAAAAAAATCTGTTTTTAAACACTAAAACAGAGGTTATAGATTTATAGCCTATCAGCTGATTTTGACTTTAGAGATGGTTTTTTTGACCCACACAGTTGTTGTTTTAACATGATTTGGTTGTAAATACCTAAAAATCAAGATCTTTTATACAAAAATCTGGATTACCAGCCTCTATTTAAAAGAAACCAGAAGATAACCTGGCAACAGCAAAGGAATTCTGTATCAGAATTATTTTTAGTCATTGATGTATATATATATATTTTTTTGAATTTTATTTTATTTATTTTTTATACAGCAGGTTCTTATTAGTCATTGATGTATATTGATGTGAATTATTTTTAAGTGACTTTCATATCTTAGAGGTTTTTAAGCTTGCTCAGTATGTGAAATATCTTAGCACCCTGTGTTCCCTCTAGGTGATATATTTTAATGACATCAGTTGAATTATGATCTAATTCAAAATGAAAACTTATTTTAATTTCTTCTGAAGTGGCAGATTTGGTTAAATTTACACATCTTTTAGTGGTGTATGTATCCATGAAAAACTCAAGCTGTTAAACTGAATAAGTTTTCTTTAAATTTTCCCCATGAATGTGTGTTTGCTGTGTTTTCATTCATTTTGTATTCTGCTAGGACAGCAGACAAGTGGTAGTAGGAGCCCAAGGTGGTTTAAGAAAAATTTAGGGGAGAAAAAAACCTGAAAATTGAAGATGTTCTACTGATATTGGTTTTTAGAAAATTGTCAAGATACTGACATTATTTCATTTTTAGCAGTGGAACATCGTAGTCTAGTTCATCTTGATCTAAACAGGATCCCAAGGGATCATGAAGTGAGGAATACTGTTTTAGAGTGTAGCTATTTCTTTTTTTCTCAGATACATACACAAATAATCTGGATTGTATTTTGTTTGTTTGCAATATTAAGACTCTTCTAAGCCTTTTTAATTACTGGCTATTGAAAAATAATTTATCACTCTGAAACATGCTCATATTTTTGATACCCAGGTATTCAGGTATTCTTCCATCTTATAAAAACCAGTATCTATATCTATTTTTAGATGACTTCAAACCTGCTTCTATTGACACTTCTTGTGAAGGAGAGCTTGAAGTCGGCAAAGGTGAACAGGTGACAATTACTCTACCAAATATAGAAGTGAGTATTTCCATATATTTAAACTAAATAGATGTTTTTACAGGTTTCCACTAAATTTAAATGAAAATAATTGTACAATTCATGTAGTGGTAGTTAAAAAATTAGTAAATATAGCAAAGCAAAAAAATCATATTTTAAACTTTCTTAAGTAAAACAATCTTAAACTCTTAAAATTTACTTTGTAAGTTTCAAGAACTATCATATTAAATGATTTGAAACAATTGGAGGTCTAAACAGATATTTATTAAATCACTATTATGAGCCAGATTTTGTTCTCCAAACTAGGAATAATAACATATGCCCGTAGTCCTAATCTGTTACAGCAGACAGACATATAAACATCTATCTAGTGCTATAGATTAGAACAGAGACAAAATTTTGTTTAAACACATAAATGGAATCAGATACTCTGCTTGGTGGAATTTTTTTTTTTTTTTTTTCCCTTATTACACGCGGGCCTCTTACTGCCGCGGCCCTTTCCGCCGCGGAGCACAGGCCCCGGACGCGCAGGCTCAGCGGCCACGGCTCACGGGCCCAGCCACTCCGCGACACGTGGGATCCTCGCGGACCGGGGCACGAACCCGTGTTCGCCGCATCAGTAGGCGGACTACCAACCACTGCGCCACCAGGGAAGTCCTGCTTGGTGGAATCTTGAAAGGCTTCATAAAGCATATGCTATGTGGGCTGAGACTTAAAGGACAAGTGGAATTTCATCCGTTATAAGAGGAGTAGAATATTCTAGGCAAAAGGAACAGTATGTGAAAGGCTCCAAATGGAGAAAGGACAAGTGGAATAAATGAATGAATGTAGTAAATTACAGAATAATGAAAAATGATTGATAGGAGTAGAGACTGGAAAGGTAGGTTGGGACCAGATTATAAAGAATCTTTTATGTTGTAATGTAGAATTTTGAGATTATGTCATAGGTATTAGAGAACCATTAGAGGTTTTTAAGCAGAGAGGTAACATGATTAAATTTGTGCTTTGGGAGTGATTTTAACAATGACTTAGGGAATGGACTGGAAAAGAAAGAGACTAGGTCAGGTAGGCCTTTACCAAAATTTTGCCCATTTCAGAAATTTTCAGATATATCAAAGTAATGCTAATGTTTACATAAATATGCAAGTTCTTTGTTGTATGCTCTAGTTTTCTCAGTCCTTGAGTTAGAAATTTCTTAGCATTCAACCTAAGTTTCTCTTTTCTTTTATACTGACTTGATCTATTCTCAAAGAAAACCAAGACTAACTTTATACTCTAACATAGAAAACACTGGACTTTCTGAGATTTTTTTACATTGTTTTAACTTTTGTAATAGGAATGGTTTTGTGCTAGTTCATCCACATTCTCTTGTATACATTTATGAGATGGCTTGTCATGGTTAGAGGTATAGCAAGCAAGCTCTCTATCCTCTATCTAGCCTTCCATCTGTTTCCTTTTGTCTGTCAACACTATATATTGAGACCCCACCTATATGTCAGACTATATGAGTTGCTGCCTCTGAAGGTTTCCCTAATGTTAATGAAATTTGTGGGTGCATTTTATTGTATATTTCTCATTTGCTCCCTTAGAAATTGAAGAAAATGAAAAATCAGCTCAGTCTGAGACATTGTAGATTAGTAAGCCTTTGTATTACTCTGTTAATAAAAAGTGTTCAGATTCTGGTGTCTTTAAAATAGTTTGGATATTAAGTACCCAATAATCTAAGGCTTTTTTTGCTTTATGAGGTTTATTAAAGAAAAGCCCAAATCATTCACTTAATCTTAAAAGTTATTGAAAAGCCTCAGGTGGATAACAGGCACCACCTGTTATCCTGGTCTCAGATTATAGGATTATTGATCAGTGATGATTGGTTTGCAGATGAGTTCTTCTTTGCCACGTAGCATATTATTTTCTCAAATTGCAATCTTCCCATCCTCATCCCTTGCATTGTCTTTCTACTCCAAGCAGATGGGGATTCTTACATTTATTAATAAACCTTTTTCATTCACACACAATCCTGCTTTAATCAAGAGTTACCATCTACCATGTGTTCGATTTTGGTCTCAATTGAAAATACTTCTTGAAGGAATGACAACTATAGGAGGAAAATTTCAAGCTTCAAATTGTAAATTTATGAAATAGCAGAGAAATCATTTGGGAAAAAGTAGTTCCCTCCCCACCTCAGCCCACCAGAGATATGTCCAAAATGACTACGCCTCAATATTTTTGTGTGTATATGTGTGCATGAGAAAGGGAGACGGTTGGACAGACAGTCCATATATGCATATACTTTCTGTGTGGTAAGTCCTTTGCTAGGTAGCTGTTAAGAATACAGAGGTAGGGACTTCCCTGGCGGTCCAGTGGTTAAGACACCACACTTCCACTGCAGGGGACACGGGTTTGATCCCTGTTGGGGGAACTAAGATCCAGCATGCCATGTGGCATGACCAAAAATAAAAATAAAAAAAGAAGACAGAGGTAGACTGGACGTGGAAGGTGTCCTAAAAAATATTATCATTTAATGAGGAAGATAAGAGATAATTGATTAAAATTTAGTAATGTAAGGACTATCATAAAGGTATACACAGAATATTATGGGAGTACAGAAGAGCGGAGATTCAGCCTGGGGAGGGAGAGGAGACATCAGGATATGCTGTCTTGAAGATGAGTTGAAATTACCCAGGTGAAGGAAAGAGGGAAGGACCTCTTAGAGAAAAGAAAGACGTGGGCTAAGACAAAGCAACAAAAGAGTCTGTTACATTTGAAGAACTATATATAAGCCACTATGGCTAGGTAAGAAAGGGTGCATATGGGGACACAGTCGGAGATGGTATTTAGGAATCAGATAAAGAAGGGCCTAATGTGTAATGCAAAAGAATTTGAATTTTATCCTGTGAATCTTTCAGATAGCTGGAATGCAAGAGAATTGTTCAGATAGCTGGAATGCAAGAGAATTTGCTTGCTGGAATGCAAGCAAAATTACCACTTGCTAAGAGCAAATTTTTTTTTTCTGCTGGGCCTACAATCCTTGAGCAATTGTGAATAAGAATAGAAATTATATTCTCAAATTTTCTGGAGTTTTCCCCCTTCATTAAAGAACTTCTTCAAGGGCTTCCCTGGTGGCGCAGTGGTTGAGAGTCCGCCTGCCGATGCAGGGGACGTGGGTTCGTGCCCCGGTCCGGGA